CTTCGTAGCTTCTGCTCAAGAAGACTTGAGGCTGTCACTCTTCACCTACTTGGTGGAACATGCCTGAGTCCCTCCTGCATGTGAGGCAGAGCCCTCACTCACTGCCGGCAAAACAAGAGCACCATGCAGACCCTTCTCTCCACCACCCTCCACACCAGGGGGTGGGCATGGCTAGCCAGCTTCCACCCAGCCCCTTCCCCCCATGCCGGTTCCGCCCACCCGAGGTGGCCGGCTGATGCTCACATCCCCTATGTTCCACCTCCAAATCCATAAGACCTCTTTTCTCCCAAACTTGCTGAAAAATTATCCTTCGACGTTTTCCCACTGTAAGGAAGTGTCTCAAGCCTGCCAAGAGGCCAAAGAAAGCAGGAAATCAACAAGTGAGTCAAGCCACCGGGCCTTAGGTGTACCCAGCCTTGGATAAACCCCTGGTGCATCTTCCTATCTCAGCTGGTCTGGCTTTTCACACCTCTCTGCTCCTTACCGGATGATTCAGGGCCAGCCTATCATCCAGTTCCAAAAATCCTCAGTGACAATAACAGATTTACACGGCCCAAGGAAAAAGCAGTTCTCCCTTGTGCCCCCTGAGTCTTCTTGCCACTGGAGCCACAATCCATCCCTGCGCCCCCCTCCCCCCCCCAACAGCCCTTAAATCCAACACAACCGGGGAAGCCACTTCCCAGCACTCCTCCTTTGCCAACTACGAAGCAAGTTCCAACTACTGCATTTCTGCAATCATTAAATCAGGCCTCCCAATTAAGAGTTTGCAAATTCTGCTCACCTTGGAAAGCACTGCTGGATCTGAGAAGCAAATCACACCCTGTAACCCAGCCATCAGGAGAAACGCAGAGCAGACAAATAGAGACAAATAGCCTCCTGTCCAGCCCCCTCCTCTCCCCACCCCACCCCCAGCCCCAGGCCAACAGTGACCAGGAGCAATTAGTGCTGCTCTGTCCCGCTGCATTTCCCAGCTCTATCTCAAAGGAGAGGCTCCCCTTGTAATATTAATTAAAAACAGATTCTTTTTGTCAAACCCCTGAAGAATGGTTTCGGTGGCAGGCTTCTTTATTAAGCCTCTGAGAAGGCAAAATGCATTAAGATATTGTGACACAAGGATTGTGAGCAGGGACGATGAAGGCGAGACAATCCAGCCAAAAGATATTTGAAAAATCTGTTTGAGAGCCACAATTAGCTGCTCCAGTGAGTGAAATACAATTAATCTGATCAAAGCTGTCACTATTTTGCACATTAGGGGTAAATATTTTAGAACACAGTCCAGCTGAATTAGTTAAAGGTATGAAATCCTGCTTGGGAGCATCTGTGTGTTCTACCTCCTAGAGTGCTAGGGAAGGGTGATCTGGAGGGGACCTGGAATTAGCAGCATTCCCTGCTTCTCTTCACCAAGGTGCATTGTTGGGCACATTAACTGAAGTCCTTCCAACCAGACACACACTGCAGGGGTAGCAGCCTGCAAATCACTCTCCACCGCCAGTGAGCTGTTGGAAAGGGAAGGGGGTCCTCCAAGGGAGAATGCAGCATTTCAACTCAGCACCAGGAAGGGGTTCCCTGGCCAGGGTTACTCCAAGGAGGAGGGGGCATGGAAAAGTGGACCATCTCCTTCACAACTTTCCAGTCTCCAGAGCCATTTGCTTTGCCAATTCACTGAACAAGTAGAAGGCATCTTCCTTCATTGGAAAGAGAAGGGCAGAATGATGTGGGGTTTTTTTGTTTTGTTTTGTTTTGTTTTTTCTGTTTCCCTGCAAACCCTGGGGATGGAGCTCCCTCCGGGGGTGTGAAACACTCTCTTGCCCATTAATCACCAGGAACCCAGCTGGAGACTGGCATTTACCACCCCTCCAGAAGTGACACATCTTAATGAGCCTCAGAGTAGAGGCTCTGAGCCCAAGTCCCTTCACCTCTCACCCAGGACCACCTGGCAGGGTAGTAACGGTCAGAGAGGGACCCAGTCTCCAGCCCCTTCTTGACAGCTTCTGGCTCAAGCCTTCCGGGCACTTCCTCCTTTGCCCCCAAGCTATCTGACCACAGTCCCTGAACCAAAGGGAATCCATGACCCCAGCCTTGGACAAGGACTTCCCTCTGCCTCCTGCCATCCCCGGGGCACAGCTGGACAAATGGAGCCGAGCATGTCCAGCCCTGCGTGCCTGACTGCGAACTGTCAGAGTGGACTTTGATTTCAGTTGTATGGGCTGACTGAAAACCCTCCCCCCAAAGGGAATTCATGTCAAGTAACGAAGTCCACAAAAGGCACCTGGAAGGAGGCCAGGAAACCCCAAAGTGTTCACAATTAAGCTGGTGGCCTTCCCAGAAAAGGACATGTTTAGTACTGTGGAAGTCAGAAGAGACGATGGAACTCTCTTTTCATGCCAAAAGAACCTGGTGCTAGGACATCTCCCTCCACGTTGAAACCAATGATGAGGGAAGCTTCCTGAAAGTTCATCGTCCCCATCACTCCTCACCCTGGCTTTTATCTACAGCATCTTCCTTTGCTGTCTTCAGGAAAGGGGGACCGAGAACAAAACCAGCCTAGTCATGTTGCAGGCATGGGTTTCCCCGCTCCTCTCACAGGGATGTTTCCTTAAAGTCCCTCAAAGACAGGGCCCCGCGAACATGTTCCCTCCTCTTTCTCTCAGAGCAGCACAGACCTGATATTCAGCGAAGCCTTTCCCGCTGATACTGCCTGCACAGTGCGGTGGGAAGAGGCAGATCCAGCCCAGGTGTTCAGGAGGCAGTCGCTCTCCACCAGAAAGGACAAAACGACAGGATGGGGTCCCTGCACCCCTTGTGTGTTACCTTGTCCTTAGCTTGGACAGTTAAGACTGGCCAAGAACACAACCAATGAGCATCCTGAGGGCTGTTCCTGGATTTCCCAAATCTCCCTGCTGTCACTAAGGGCTCCAAAGCCAACTGGTCCACTCCCCAAGCGCTTCTTCCCCTCTTTCAACTACAAGCCATTCCCCCCCCCCGGGGGCGGGGGCTAGGGCTAGACTTGCCCCCTCACTTCCTCTGCTGCACCTCTGCATGGAAGATGGGCAGAGAAGGCCATGCGCATGTTACTGTTTGCAAAAAGCATCCTCTAAAGTCCCACCGGTAAGTCAACACGCACATAAAAATGATCCTTAAAAGCACAGACATAAGAAAACTCTTTAGGTAGAGTGAATTTATATTGTCCAAATGTGACAGTAATAAAGTCACAGATATGTGAGGACAGCACCTCCGCCTCCTAGGGATACATTCATCCCACACATTTTCTTCATCCTTCTCACCCAGTATGAACGTGAACAAAAACATACACACACACTCACATACAATTCCTCATTATCAAACTAAAACGAAGTTGAGATTCCCAGGCCCTGCTGTCAGAGAATTACCTCTCCCCCCTCTCTCCTCTGGGGACTTGCAAGTCTTCCATCACCCATCCCTGCCAAGGCACGCCATACCCACCCCCTCCCCATGCCCAGAGTTGTGCATTCCGAAGCTATGGAGGTCTTCACTGGAGGCAGATGAAGCCAGCCACCGCGCCGGTGGGAAAACAGACCTCGCAAATCCTTCCAACCCAGCATCTGTACCCGGGCTGGGCTGCCCGATCTGTGCTGTGGGTCATTAAGAACCAGGAAATCTGTACTCAGCAGCGCCGATGTGGTACACTCTGCGGACTCCTGGCTTTCCTGTTATTCACTCCTTACCCCTGTGACACCCCCGGGCCCCTTTAAAATAAGGCCAGAATTTTCCAGAGAAATCTTTAATGCCAGTCATACAGAGAAACACAAAGGGGAGGGGCGGTGCTTTCCGATCAAATGAGCAAAGCTGCCTATACGGACATCCATCATCCTCCAGACTCTGCCCAACGCCGGGTTCTGATTTGATCGGAGAGCCGGAGAAGAGGAAAGGATTTTTGCAAGACTGGCTGAAAGTGGGGGGCCGTGGACGGGAGGGGAGTGGGAGAGATCGCAGGAGGCCGCCCCCCCACCTCCGCCGGAGATCGCGTTCCCCGCCGTTTCTTGGCGTGGCCGCACGGCTCCGGGCTCCGGCGGGCGGCGGGGTTGGGGAAGCCTCTCCGAGAACGCTCTGCGGGCGGCAGTAGCTGCCGGGGCCGCCCGGGCTTCGAGCCCGACGCCGGAGTGGACTCAAGGGCGCCACCTGTCGGTACAGCTGCTCTCAGGGGAACCTGGCCGCGGAAAGGGGAGAGGTGCGCAGAAAGCATGGGGACCCAACTCCACTCCGGGAGTCGTTTGTGAAGCGGGACACAGCGACCGAGGCGAGTTTTTTTGCTTAGAGACTTGATGTGCTTATTCTTGCGTAAGGGTGAGGGGTGCGGAATGGGTGCTGAATTTCACTTCACGCTTTAAACTTTTTTTTACTGCCTCTCCTGTAGCTTTCCAGGCAGCTGCCTGGGTTTTGAAGGGGGACTCAGTGTGACCTGAAGGCCCGGGCTCGGGCGGACTAGGCGCAGCCTTCCCCCGGGCTGGGAGAAAGTGCGCCTGGAGCAGAGTGCAGCGACCCTAAGGCCGACAGGAGTCTGGGAGTCCGAGTAGCCTCCAGCTCCCGGGTTCCCTTTCGCGTGATTGGGGGGAAGAAGGGGGGAGGCTCGGCAGTCGCCGGAATCCGTCAGTTTGCCAATTCAGGCTGCGTCCTCACCGACGAATTCAAGCGCCGGACGGGAAAACTGACTCTCCAAGCCGAGTACCAGGGAAAGGGACCACAGATCCCTTCCCTGCTCATCTTTAAGACACTTCTTCCCCCTCCCCTCCGGGCGGCCCCAAACCTAGGGTCTCCAGCAAACAAACGTACACACCATCTTACAACAAACTCCGCTAACCTGTTGGGGGCGTGGGGGAAGCCGGATGAACCTGTTCTCTCTACAAGTCAGGGCGCCCCCGCCTCTGCCTCGACCCTCCAGCAACTATCTGTCCCCCGTTCCCACCCTCCATTCTGCCCTGCTGTCAGGAGACAGGCAGATCCGCCGCCGGGCAGGTACTCACGCTGCTGTTGTGTCCCGACCAGTGCACCATGGCTTGATTGTGGGCCGAGTCCCCGGTCAGCGCGAACGAGGTGCTGGGCAGCCGGAGCTCTTCGGCCGCCGCCCCCCCGGCCCGCGGCGCCTTTACCTCCTCCCCGAGACCCTTGGCCAGAGGGCGGCTTCCTCTGGAACCATCGGCCAAGGCAGTGGCCCGGGCGTCCCCGTGTTCCAGGGCACTGGAGGGCTGCGCCCGGCGACTCCTCCTCGCGCCGCCAGACTTGCTCGGAACCGGGGTGCCTTGTCCCCACCGCGAGCCTGCCGGCGACGGTCCCCCGGTTTCTCCCTGCTTCTTTCCAACGCTGCCGCTGCCGCCGCCTGGCTGGGGCAGCGGCTCTGGTCCGGGCCGGCGCCCCAGTGCGGCGCCTCTCCGCGCCGTCGCCAGCTCCTCCGGCCACTGGCTTACCACTGCCCGCGGGAAGAGAGGAAGCAGCACCCGGGGCCGCGAAGCCGGGGCCGCGGGGCGTCCGGGACCGCCCGTCGCGCCCCAAGTGATCTCGGCACCAGCCAAGACCCACGTCGACAGGAGCAGGAGCCCCGTCCGGGCGAGAGGCGCCCCGGGCCAGCCTGCGGGGCGCTCCGTGCGCGCTGCCTCCATCCCGCTGCGGCTGCCGCGGCTCGGGCTGCCGAGAGTGTGGCGCCCGCCGAGGTGCGGGTCCGGAGCGGGGGGTGTGCGCGCGCCGGCGAGCCAGCGAGCGAGTGTGTGTCGGGGGGAGTGGAGAGTGGGGAGGGGGCGGCCGGGAAGGAGGTGGCTCGGGCTGGCGCGCCTCGCGGGTCCTCTCCGCTCTTCCCTCCTCGCTCTCTCGCTCAAAGGGTGATTCCAAAACCCAAGAAAAATTAATAAATAACCCCTCGGTGCTTTCCCCCCCTCAAAATAAGATCCCCCCAAATCTTCCTCACCGAGCTCCTCCAAAAATTTTTGTTAAAAGGAGTGTTCAAAGGTAATGAGAAAAATCCTCTTTTTTAAAACATGAGAATCAAGCCGGATCCAGGAGGAGGGGCTGGCGACGGACCCCAATCCAGAGTCTCTCCGAAATCCAGCCTCCAACCTGCTCCCGCCGAAGAGTTGGGAGCCGCTTCTGGCCGCGGTTGGGGGGTTACTCTTCGGGCCTGTTGTGGGGAACGGGAGATGGCGCGCGGGGAGGGTGGGGGGGTCTCGAGGGAGGAGGAGGAGTAAAGTGTTTTCAGCGCCAACTATTCGGGTTCGGAAGCCAAGGGGGAGACCAGAGCCTTCGCGTGGGGAGACAGCGCGTGGAAGCCGAGCGCGGGATGGACCCGGGACTCCGCTCGCTACTCCCGGGCCCGCCCCTCCCACCGCCCCCCTCACCGCCCCCCGCCCCTCGCCCCTCACGGCCTGCGCCCCCACCCGGTGCGGGGGCGCGGGGACTGCGTGCGTGCGCGTGCGTGCGCGCAGGCGGGAGAGGGTGAAGCGAGGGGTGCGCCAGGGGCTGGCGGGCGCCGCGGGGTGGGGGCACCTGGCGGAGCCCCGGGCTGCTTCGGTGTGCGGGGGCGCGCGGTTCCGTGCGTGCGCGTTTGCACGCGTATGTGTGCGTGTTAGTGTGAGCCACGGGGTGGGGGGCGGGGATGGGTCCGCTCGGGCTGTGGGTGCGCGCGGATCACGCACGGGCTGTGTTTGCATTTCCTGAGCCTGCGAGTCCTCAGAAAGGCAATATTGAGAGCAAGGCAGGCCGCCCTGGATAGCCCCCTCCTCCTGGCGCCCCGCGCACAGATGCTCCCCCACCGGCCGCGGATGCAACCTGGTCATTCCTTAAACCTCCTGGAGGGCGAGGAGAGAGAAAAGGGAGGCGCCGGCGGCAGGGTCAGGGGTTTGCCACCTCTCCCGGATACCTGGCTCTCCTTCCTGGGACCCCCGGTCGGAGCTTAGGAAAGACAGTGGAGATCGTTCGTTCCCACGGTGGGCGGGGGCGGGGAGGAATCCAGCCCCCATCTTCTAGCCTGAGATTGAGGTCGCGCCCTCACTCTTCCTGGATTCGTTTCTGAGCGGGCTTAGTTTTTCCTTCAAAGCGCCGACTGCCAGTGAGAGGACCCCGGTGCGGCGCAGCGCAGAGCCGGCTGATCAGACCCCCGGCCCCAGCACCCCGTACCCCGCTGCAGAAGGGCAGCCTGGGCGCGTGGGACGCAATCTGGGCTAGGACCCTTGGCGCCCTGTAGGAAAAAAGGGAGACTTCGGAGAGAGGGAAGCTAAACTCGAGGACGAGGAGATGTGGTTTACAGGCCCCGGCACGTACTGCCGCCCGCCGCCTCCGAGAAGCTCCCGTGATTTCTAGAGTTGGAAAAGCGAGAAGCGCGGAGCTGGAGGGGGGGGTTGTTCAGAAAGGAGTGGGATGGAGAGAGGGGCCTCGGAGAGCGTGGCGGTCTGAAGGCCCTTCCTCTCCTCGGGATTAGAGGAAGAGTTCATGGCCAGAGAGAGGGAAACCCGGGAAGAGGGGAGAGGAGAAAGGCGGGGCGAAGGGAAGAGAAGCGATCGGAGAGGAAGGGAGAAATGAGGTGGAGGAGGGAAGGCAAGAGAAATTAGAGGCGGAAGAGGGCCCGGGGCGGGCCATGAGGGATGGAGAAGGCAGAGACGGCCTGGGAATCTGAGCCGGCCACGGAGGGCGGCAACCCGCGGTTCCCGGGAGCCCCCACCCTGGCGAACATGCATTTCCAACCGCAGCTGAACTCGGAAATTGGGAACCGAGGAGGCTGGGCCGGAGAACCAAGCCGGAGACAGTCCAGAATGAGCCGGGTCTTGGAGTCGGGGTTTCCCAAGCCCGCGGGCAGCGGAACACCCCAAGAAAAGTTGCGGCACGGAAGGCCGAGGTGGGCGCGGGATCGGGCGCTGGACGGGAGCCGGCAATCAGCGGGTTCCCAGCGCCCCTGCCGGGGAAGGCTGGGCGCTGCAGCTCGAGCTCCAGCTCGGGATTCGGGAGGGACGCGAGGCCCCTCTTCTGCGTGGGCTCTGGGCAGAGGTGCTAGATGTCAGAGTAGAAGTGGTCTGGGCTTGCAGGCAGGCCTTCCGGAGTGGACGTTCACAGAGCCCGCGAGCGGGAGGCCTCCCAAGCCTCAGGCCCACAGGGGAGGTGTGCTGTCCAAGCCCGTGGGGGACAGTTGTCTGCAAGAGCAATGCTGGAAACTCCCTGCTCCCTCTCCCACCTGCCCTGGACCTGGACCGAGCCTGCGGAAAGGTCAGATCCTCGAGTGGACTTTGGGAGATGTGGCTATTAAGTATTTGGAAAAAAAATGGATGAAAGACTAACAGATGTGCTATTTTCACACATCTGCCCCCAATTCATCCTCTTGGCCTTGCTTTATCAATTATTGCCCCTCCTTCTATCCTCGCTCTCTCCCTCCTTCACCCTTTGCCTAACAATCCTTGTCCTCAGCCCTGTGCTGGCTCCCCCTCCGCAGCCTCCCAGTCCCCACCTGCCTTCTCTAGTGTCCAGACCTCTTCAAGGAGTTCTCCCCTCCACTAGTAGTCTCCCCTTCCTCACCTGCCACTCCCACGCTGGACATTTGGCAAGCTAACGTTTGCCTTCAGGTGACTCCTCAAAGCCTTAACTCCCAACAAACACCACCTGATGGCTTCCTTGAGACAGCGTGGCCAACAGCCTCCACTTCCTGCATTTGTAAACCTGTTCCATCTGGAAAGATCTCCTTTGGTCTATGTGGTACCAGGGTCTCCTGGGTCCTCCCTGACTAGCCAATGTCAAGCTCAGCCAACCTCTCTTCTCCCGCCACGTCTTAAATTCTGAGCCCTAACCTCCATCATGACCCCAGTTTTCTGTGCTTCATTCTCATTCCACCCTCCCTCTGTGAGTGAGCTCAAAGATCTCACCCATATCTGTGCTTCAGCTGTCACCTCTTGCCTGTTGACTCCTGAATCTACTCTGTTCTCTCTCTGCAGCTTCTCATCTGAATTCCCCATTGCTTCCTACACATGCAGGTGCACACTGAAACCCATATGCATCAAGTTCTAAAAACCCTCCTCCTCATCTCTGTCACCCAGACGAGACACTAAACATGAAACCTTGTCTACTCCCTCTTTCTAATCCCCACATCCAGAAAAATCATGGCCAAGTCCTATTTTACTTTTTTTTTAAGATCTTATTTATTTATTTGACAGAGAGAACACACACACAAGCAGGGGGAATGGCAGGCAGAGGGAGAGAGAGAGAAGCAGGCTCCCCGCTGAGCAGGGAGCCCCATGTGGGACTCGATCCCAGGACCCCAGGATCATAACCCCGGGCAGAAGGCAGTTGCTTAACCAACTGAGCCACCCAGGCACCCGCCAAGTCCTATTTTAAAAGCCTTTTTTACCTGTTGTCTCCTGTTTATTCCCAGGGTCACTGCCTTAGATCTAACCCTCATCCTCCCTTGTCTTAGGGTTTTACTATAACTTCCTGTCTTCTCCTGGTCTTCAGTTCTCTCTTTCCTCAAGCCAGCCTCCACACCAGCGCGGTCCATTAAAAGTGTAGTCAGCCACGTAGGTAATTTTAAATTTTCTAGTAGCTTCATTAAAAATTAAAAAGAAACTAATGAAATTAATTTTAATGATATATTTTCTTGAGTTGAACATTCAACTCCAAAATATTTTCAACTCATGATCAACATAAAAATTATTGAAGTATTTTTACATATTTTTGTACTAGGTCTTCAAAATCCAGTGTATATTTTTACACTTACTTACATTTCAATTACTAGCTACATTTCAAGAGCTCAATAACCACATATGACTAGTGGCTACTGTTTTAGACAGCACAGTTCCATAGATGCCTTTTTTTTTTAAGATTTTATTTATTTATTTATCAGAGAGAGAGCACAAGCAGGGGAGAAGCAGGCTCCCTGCTGAGCAAGGAGCCCGATGCAGAACTGGATCCCAGCACTCGGATCATGACCTGAGCCGAAGGCTGACGTTTAACCAACTGAGCCACCCAAGTGTTCCCATAGATGCCTTTTAAAACTTAAGGAAGATTATATCATGGATTGCCCTCCTCAAAATTCTTCATGACCAGCCATTGTCCATAAAGTCCAAGCTTCTCAGAATGGCCCCTTGCACTGCCTTACCTCCATGAACTTTCTTACCATATTCCTTAAGTCTGTAATCTGCCCTCTGCCACAGTTTCCATGATGATCTGCTCTAAATGCTAGCTCTTCCGTGAAATCTGTCCCCCACTATCCCATGGCACCTGACATTGAATCCGTTATTGTCACCACCTCCATCATCATCACCATCACCAAATTTTACTGCTGTAAGATGGGAGCTGTCCAATATCCATCTGGAATTTAAAAGAGAGGCTAGGGTTAGAATGGACTGTCATTTCTCTTGCTGGCATAATGCCTACTTCAGCTGGGAAAGGCATGTTGGGAGCCAGGATTAGCCCTCACACCCACATCCACAATGGGGAGAGCAAAGAAGGCCCTCCTGAGAATGCATTTTCCCTCCAGGCTCCTGTCCCTGTTATAAACAACTGGAGAAAGCAAACAGTATCCTGTAAGTTATCCATGAGATTACACTTCTGCCACCCTAATATGACTTCTTTCCCGTTTGTTCAGTTTTTTTAACCATCACAGTGAAATAACACTTTGGGAAACTATTCT